GGACGATCTATTATAATTGAGTGCCGTTGGCGAATTATAATTATTTGGTCGATCCACTTTCTAATTACCGGTAATATTTACAAAATTTTAAATTCTAATCAACAACTCGAATACTTTTATATGATGATGATTTTTTTTTTTAATTCTTTTATTAATTGATTATTAACGTTAATTACTAATAAAACTTTACTATATTATACAGAACGACCTTAAATTACACAACCAATCACTCGCAATTTAATGAAAATACTTATTGCATAATAAGAAAGTAATAATGAATCATTTGTAGATTTAACTAAAGCGTTAGATACTGAGTAAATTAGATTACTTAGCGATAGTAATTGTTTAGTCAATTATATAAGTTATAGTTGGTTGGTAACTAGTTGATAAATAAATTAGATCAATTATTTACAATTTATGACATAATTTATAATTTTTTTATTCAAATTGAGTTTTATAAAAGTTTAACATTAAAATTTTGTACATTTAAATTTCAGCGATTAAAATTTTATTAACGTTAGACCAAATTATCAAAATAAAATTTTTAACCTTTCAAACTTAGTACATTAATATTTAATTACTGTTAGCGTTACTGCTTTACTAATAAGAAATCGAATTTATTATTCTAAACTTTACGATTCAAAAATACTAATACGTGTATAGTGCTAATTTATCAAGAAATTCAATTCTTTAAGCTAATATTTAATTACTGTAAATTTTCGCTACGTATTACTAAACCCGTTAAAATTATATTAATAATGGTAATTATGATCGATTTGATTTACATATTGGGATTAGGTATAACGCAATTCGTACTATGTTACACACGAATATCTAAATTTTATCACAATTACCAAAACTTGCATAAAATGATTAACGTTTAATCGTTGATATTTACAAATTAAAAAATCGTCTCTAAGCCCCGATTTGCTGTGAAAGAACTCATTTATTCATTTATTAGTTTAAAAGCCATATGCATTGTAGATTAAGCGGCAGAGGGCTTGCAGTATATGGGCTAACTAAAAATATTGAAACAGAAGAATATGGTATTTCAATATGCTAATAATGGAGACCTTCGTAAATATCTAAAATTTAAATTTAAAGAACTTAATTGGGTGGATAAATTATCACTATTATTCAATGGATTTAATTAAAATTCACAAAGCAGGATACATTCATTGTGATCTTCATTGCGGCAATATTTCACAACATAAAGAGTCATGGATTGGTTCATTAAAATCCTATATTGCAGATTTAGGACTATCTCGAAAGAATGAAGAGCTCACTTTAGAAAAAGGAATTTATGGAATTATGCAACTGAAGTTTTATTAGGTCAGGAACATACATCAACATCTGATATCTATAGTTTTGGCGTTATTATGACAGAGATGACCACTGGAATACCTCCATTTTACGGTCGCAAATTTGATATTAACTTTGCACTAGAAATTTGTTTAGGAAAGAGACCCGACTTTGCTCCAGAAACATCTAACTGCTATGTTGAATTTGCAAAATTATGTATGAATTCAGATTTAAAAAAAAAACGACCTATTCCAAAATTCTTTATAATAATCTTTCGGAATTGTATAATCTTATATACCAACCCGACGAGTCTGATGAATTTGATGAATCTAATAAACTTGTTGAATCAGATGAAAAGTTAAAAATATTTGGAGAATTTAAGGCAGCTGATAATTGAATTTACGAGATTTCAAGAGCTTTACAAGAATATCCTGGTATCGCGTACGCGAGTAATTTTATTAATACATATAATATTTCTCAATACATATCTTTTCGCTTGTCCACTTGTGTGCTGGTCTTGGGTGGGTATTTATTGTTTTTGTTTTCTGGTCTTGAAACACGTTCAATTAACGCCCCATTTCTTTTTTCCGGTGATTTTCGTTTGTCCGCCTCATCTGTTGGTCTTTGGGTGGATATTTATTGTACTTGTTGGTTTTGTTTTCCTGGTCTTGAAATACATTCAACTAACGTCCCATTTTTTTTTTCCTGGTGATTTTCGCTTTTCCACTTCGTCTACCGGCATCTTTTCTTACGTTTTTAAAAAAATTTTTTTTTTTTTCCAGGTAACAGTTTCGATTGCCGTCGCTGGTGTCATCTAGTTTGTTGTATTTTTCTTCATTCTGGTGGTGCTTCTTACGTCGTTGGTGTCACCTAGTTTGGTGTATTTTCTTTGATCGCTGGTGGTGATTCTTACGTCGTTGGTGTCGTTCAGTTTCTTCGTCGTTGATGGTGTTTTCGCCGCCCAATTTGGTGTACATTTTTCGTTGCTTACGGTCGTTGGAGTCATCCAATCGGTGTCGCTGGTGGTGGTGTTGGGTTTTTGGAATTTCGCTTCAGGAAGTATTTGATTTCTTTTCTTGTTTTTACTGCTTTTTTGCTTCGCCGTTTGCTTTGCCGTCTGCTTTGTTGTTTACTTTACCGCTTCCTTTGTGTTGATTGTGTTGCACCCGTAATTTTGCTAGTTGTGTTAGACTTATACTTGCTTTGGTGTTGGCGTGAATTTCGCCTTTGTTTAGTTCCCTGGTGTGATTTCGTCGACGTGCCGCGCTTATGGTCTAGTCACTTAGACCTCGTAAGAATTTCATTGCGTTAGAGTCATTTCTCCGTTGGTTATACGTGTAATTGTTGGGTGACATATAGGTTGAATTAGAATAGTTAAGGTTAGATTTAGGATTTATTTAGTTAGCGGTTAGGGTTATTTAGTTTTAAGGTTTGGGCCGGTTTAGGCTTTCTTGGATTTCTGGGACGTATTTTATTTTTTATTCGTTGGCTTTGTTTTTCTGCTTGTGAACTGTTACTAACGCTTCTTTTTCCTAAGTTTGTTAAAGGCGTCTTTGTACTTTCTTGGGTCGTACGATTTCTTCGTTCCGGTTATTGGGTATATTTTGGGAAGTATGACTTTGACTTTGACATATGGATTTTTTATTTTTTTTTTTACTAACGTTCTTTACTTTTTCCTAAGCAATGGGCCAAGCTTATCTTTTTTTCCTGCATTCATTCTGGATTGTGTGGTTTTCGTTTCTTACTTAATCGCGTTATTGGTAATGGGCCTAGCTAGTTCGTCATCATGTGATAAGTTGTGTCGTTGGTAGTGAATTCGCTGTTAGTAACCCGCAAATGCCATGGTTCCGTGGTTTAGTTTCTGTTTACTTCTCGTTATTATTGCTGTTGCTTGCGGTGAATTCGTTGATTTTATGGCTCTGTCGTCATAATTCTGTGGATCCTCGCTAGTAGTATATTTTGGCATGTCTTAATGGTCCCATTGTTGGGTTTATGTGATCCGTTGTTAGAGTTGTTTGTATTAGTTGTTTGAACCGTTCGTGTAACGATTTGTTAGGGTTGTTAAAAGCAACGACGTTCAAATATGTTCGTTGCGCATGATAATCTATATAAATAAAAAATTTTTAAATGATTAATTTTGTAATAAATTAAAAATGTTAATTAAAAATGTAATATTACCGTCATATATTGTGAGACGTAAAAGTTACTCCGGAGACACGTGAGATCAAAGGCTAAATATGCTGCAGTATCTGCATACGGGTATGCAGATCTCTAACCATTAATAGGTTGCCCGGGGATAAAAGAGCTAAAACTCCTTAAACTGATAAAAGAGGTATAGGAGTTTTAATAGTAATGGGAGCGAAAAGAGACATAGGGAATTAATGGGTTTTAGTAGTTTTAGGACATTTAGGGCATTAAAGTATTAAAGTATGTTTATATATTTTAAGTAGTAAAAGAGTTATGCGAAACATAGTAATGTAAATGTATATAATAAGAGCGGGTTCGCTCGTAATAAAAGATAGCTCTTGATAGTTTGCTTTTATAAACTGAGCTCTTTCTTAAATAAATCCTACTACCTAACTCATACTTTCCTTAAATATCCTACCTCCGATACTCTACTAAGTGGCATAGTAGAGTTATCTTTGCGAAGCCATCGATTA